GAGGTCCAAGGAATATTTGTATAGCCTCCGAAGAGATGTTTGTCTTCTGCAGATTGAACAATTGTCATCGTTGGGCCTTTTTCGTCGCAGCTTTGGTGGAAGTTTTTCGTAGCAAAGCCATCTCGTGTGGCTTTGTAAATCAAGTGCCATCGTTGATTTTTTTTTCTATAAAAGTGATTCAGTGTTAGCTGATGTTGTTTATCATTCAAAAGTGTTCCACCGATAAATAGTTCTTGATCTTGATGTAGTTTGTTATTACCGGGCAACGAATTTTGTTCTGCGTTGGCGATAACTGTGGCATATTGGTGTTCTTTCTAAATAAGGGTTACTACATTAGTACGATAGTCGTTGCATGATAGTTTAAATGTGAACACTAATGTTTTGCAAGAATGCGTCCGGGCTCCTAGATTAAAAAATCCAGAGTCATCGAGCTTCGGCTTTCTTTTGAAAGTAGCTCCGAAAAGTTTAATCCATTTGAACGCGGATTTTTCTGTTGTTGGAAATATTCAGTTTTAGGCTAGGTGGTTGAAAAAGAAAAACTGGAGATAGCGATACAGTTCTGAGAGTCTAAGGGTTAAACTTAGAGCTAAATTAGATTTCTGGTTTAAGCTTTTATTTATTTCAATCTGTTTATGCAGTTTGACCACATAAAAACGTTTCAGAGGCGTGAAAATTTGAGTTCTATGGAGAGTCACATTGGGTAAAGCACCTGGTCGCTTTTGAGATATTCTGGGCCCATTCAGATCACTTTTCACCGGAGAAAACCAGTATAATGCCGGCAGCAAGAATTTCTCTCAAATTCGTTAACATTAATTGACTTTAATCAATTTGAACTGAATACCTTTACAATTACTTCTGTTCCAGATAAGTGAATATATATCGTTCGAATAATTATGATAACTATAGCCAAAATAGCTGGAATGAAATTAAAGTGCCGAGTTTCAAGAAGAAATATTGGAGTGGACTGATTAAAAATCACATCTTCTAGCAGAGAATTTTCCGTCCTATGTATATACAATATGATATGTAAGTCATTGGGACTTAATCTAAATTTGTTAATTGTTCACCACATACGTAACAAATTGTCGGAAAAGAGAGGATTTAATAATGGAGGATTTAATACAAAAGGTTTCAATTATTGACCAACGAACTGATAACTTAGGCTGTAGGGTACTGGTTCACTTCTCACAATTACCCGGAACAGCGAAGTCATGCTACAAGTAATTCTAAACGTGTTCAGTGGAAATTGATTAAAGTCAATTGATGTTAATGAGTTTCAAGGAAATTTTTACATCGTAGACAGCTAAGAGTCAGATGTGTCTGCCCGCATAATACTGGGTTTCTCTGGTGAAAAGTGATCTACATGTGCCCAAATTACCTGAAAAATTGTATGCACGTCAGATTCACTCTACACCTTTCATGATGGCATTAGGAACTGCTCAGATATTTTTTAAAGTCCAGTTATGAGGGATCATTCTGTCATACGACGGTATTTATGGAAAAGTGTTGCTTCAATTCAACTCCTTTGTTCTAGTTCATACTTTTTTATTTTATTTTGTACAAATCATGAGAAAACACATACCAGTAATCCTGTGTTTGCTATTACAGGTATCATTTGGGTTACTTTCGGTACTGTTTCATTTTCTGTATCGTCAGTGACATTTGGGTTATCTTTGTTCGATACTAAACGAGAAATAGAGAAGAAGCAGAGCACAGCACTATATGTTCTGGGAATCGGAGTTGAAACGCGGATAAATTTAGGACTAAAAAATGCAGTCACTAGTCTACATGTAAAGCTGGTTACATACGAGAGGCTCGATTCTGATAAAAACAGCTTCGTAGGATCACGGAATAGTCACTATTAGTAGATTCTCTATAAGAGAGAAAGGTAAAGGACTTCGAGACTGATTGTTGTTGTTGAACGAACGAAGACCCACATCTTAACGTATGTGAGTAAAAGGTAGAATGAAATATATCTATACCTGTTTTGTGTAGCGGATAACTGACGTGAGTAACTGGTAAAATTGTTGAAGATGTGAATGGTGGTTCTAACAAGGGAAATTTCGGTTTTATCTCTTTTAGTTGTATTATGTGTAAGTCTTTTGATGGATTTATTTTACTAACAACTTGAAAATGTGTAGCTGGAGGAAGAAGAACTTCATTTTCTGTCTTGAAATATGAATGTCTGTTAATTTGTCTTCCATTTGTACATTCAATTGCAAACAATGTTCGAAGATTACCTTTCGTACCCAAAAATTCTTCTGTTTTGTCCAATGTCTCTGTGGTGGATGAGAATCCCCACCATGTATAGCTTTGATTTTTGACATATGCGTCCTCCAAATTTGTATTAACCCCACGAAAGACAGTACGACAAACTGGAGGTAGCTTCCAAAGTGCTGTTAAAAGTAGTTTCAAATATGAATAAAACGGTTTGACTCGACGACGATCTTCTGAACGAAGTAATCGATTGAGAACAAAATACACACTTTGATCTTGAGGTTCCCATTCCATTGTATAAAGAAGAATACTATAAAAAGCCCATAGAAGATGAAAAATAAAATAATAAACAACTTACGCTGCTGATTCATCATGAGAGAGATTATCTTGAGTAGACGATAATGAGCAACGTTCTTTAGCTGTCCATGCTTGTTGTCGAATATCGGGTAAAATATCTTGAATTGATTCTACAGAGTCTTCCAATGATATCAATGGTAACTGTGCATAACCGCGAAGCGGTGTTAACATTGTTCGTGGTTCATTAACAACATCTGTAATACGTGCTATAATTCCGTGATCATAATATTTGTCAGTCATTATTTGACAACGAAGAATCCAATGATATCAAATGTGATGTTTGTGATGTTCGTGCCAGTAAGTTAAAAAATTCTTTAAAGTAGTTTATTGATCATATTTGCATTTGAAAAAGCGAAGCAGAAATTGTTTCAACTGAAAAAAATAATACAAAGATAAAGAGCTCCAAGTATACGTTTTTATGAGATGCAGAACAGAGAGCACTGTTGACTCATTCTGTCTGTTTAATTCTCATTGTTATTATTGCGCTGTTTTCCTTTCTACTCTTATCTTATCTAAAAGAGAGATTCAAATAAACCCCGTATACGACTAATCGTTTTTCTTTTCATTCAGTTCTGTTGTTTGTCACCTACGACCTATTTAAAAGACAGTTCTAGAGTCACAAATATAGAAAGAGAAATAATAAATAAAAATGTTTTTCTATTCCTATAGCTGAAATCAGCAACACATTTTGGAAGGAGAAGTGTTAGAAAACCATACCTGACCATTGAACGTGGTAGAACTACTACGATTGTACCTCTTCATTTATGGTTTAAATGATTATAAGCTTCTCGTTCGTGCCTTAAGGTACATCCTCACTCATTTAGGTTTTTTATGTTGATCTCAAATGTCACAAGAGGTTTTCATAAGATATCTTTTAAATTTAGAATGTGAGAGAAATGTCTTTTTCGTTGTCTTTCATATGGTTGGATAGGGCGCATCAAACTGCACAGAAAAATATCATTTTTACCTTTTTCAAAATTAATTTTTCTGTAAAATATTGTTATTATTAGTATGGGCTTGACTAGGTATGCACCAGTTACAGTTTTTTACCAGTTAACTGTAACTGTGAAAACTGTAACTGTCGTAACTGTAGATAAATATTCTAGAGTTAGTCTTCTACGATTTGCATACATTTTCAGAACAGAGACATCCTTAAAATGTATGCAAATCGTAGAAGACTAGCTCACTCTAGAATATCTGTCTACAGTCTTTGAGGAAAGCTTTTGGACTTTCCTTTCTTTTGGAAAGAAAAGTTTCTGAGAATGATCTTAGTGTGCCAGACAACACTTTTTTCAAAGGTATTTCTTTAAATTTCACGCATCAATTTATCAATTAGTAATTTTCTTTAATATGATCTTTCTTCCTTTCCGAAGAAAGCTCCTGTTAATGAAAGTGAGAAAATTCATCTTTTCTAAATCAGAGACAAAAAACTCGAAATTCTGCCCGTAATTCTTAATTTTTTCCATCAGAACTTACCTTTTATCCAATAAAAATGTCATATTCGGAATCAGGACCAACAACTGAGTCGATTGATATGTATTACTCCTGATTGATTGTATTCAGGCTAGGAAGTACTCGAGATTGCAAATTCACAGTATTTCTTCCATAGTCTCTTATTCTTAAGGTACATGGAAAAATTTACAATTTGTTTTTTGTAGAGAACTAAACGGTGCATTTCTTAAAAAAATCTAAAATTTATTATATTTTTGGACTGAGATATAGGCAAACAGAGAAACGAACAATCATTTAAAAACATCCGGTATAGTCTTATTAGCATTTGATTTCCATATGTATATTTTCTTAGGTTTTTATAACACTATTTAACCCTTTCGTGCCGGGGCCCGTCTGTATACGGGCGGAGCTTTTAGCCATGCTACCCTTGTTATAGATTGTTTCAGACTCGGTCTAAAAGACAGCTCTCTCTTGTTGTTATCTCACCAACATCATTGCATCATCGTCCAACACTGCTGGCGGCAAAAATTTTCCGTACACCCCTATCCTCTTTTTCCTTTTGAGCATAACTCGGTAACGAAAAAAGCTTTTGACAAGCGGTTTGCACCAAAATATTCTTCACTCTCTCTAGTGTATTTGTAGATAAAAAAAGATAGAAATATTCATTATTGTTCTGTGTAGGCTCATTAGACGGAAAAGTAAAGGCCAGTCAGCAAAACTTTTTCGTACAGTTGATAAAAGGCTTTTTTTACGCTGTATAAGCATCGACAAAATATAAAAACTACATCAATCGATAGAGGAAAGCGCCAGCTACATTTTGGTAAAAAAACACAATTTTGAAAAGCTATTTCCTTAGGGTGAAACCGAAGTCGGTGAAAATGAACGAAACATTGCATAATTATACATCAAATTGTAGCTCTTGATGAGTTGATTCTAATGGTGAAGGAATTCGGTCTCGATCTAGCTTTACCTTCTAGTGGTACTCAATTTCATATCACCGACAAAAAATTAAAGTTCATTTAGAGTTAAAGAAAAGTGCTTTTTCGTGTTCAGCACACTTGATAACCTCGAAAATTTTCTAATTTTAGCGAGGGGTACCGCCAAAAAGTTAAGAAAAATTGTCAAACTTGTATAATTTTACCATGGAGATTTTTCTGCGTCAATTTGTTTGAGAATTTTTCTTAAGTTTTTGGCGATACCCCTCGCTAAAAAATAGAAAATTTTCCAGGTTATCAAGTATGCTGAATACGAAAAAGCACTCTCCTTTAACTCTAAACAAACTTTAATTTTTTTTATCGGTGGTATGACTTGAAAAAAAATATTTCTAAAGTTTGAGCTCGATTTTCTCCTAAACGCTCGGAAAGTTTTTCGAGACTTTCCGGATAGGAACTACTTAGTAGGATCTATAACTTTGTCCATACAACCATCCTCGACACTTTCCATTTTTCACCCTCAGTATTCCAGGAAACTCGTTAAAACCTTACCTCATAAAAAGAGAGCATCTCGCATTAAGCGATTCTCCTTTATCCATTTTAGCTGGAGCCATCAGATTCAAATACCTTCAAAAACAAAAACCCATTTGATGCTCATGTGAAAATATGATGTAATTTCTTTCTCAGTCTACAAGACTGGGCATGCGCCGGTTTCGGTTTTTAACCGATTAACCAAAACTGATCATAACCGAAACCGAACGCAACCGAAAATGTTGCACAAGCTCTTGAAAATATGTTTGACACAATATGAAGGAAGATCTGTTTTTTCAATCAACAACTGTTCATCTCCGAAGAAAGATGCACGGTGTATAAAATTAAAAATAAGCCAAATAAGTGGTGTGTCTGACTTTTCACCATGAAGAAAGAGTTTCCCAAAATTGAGTTTAGCAATAAAAGTATGGCAAACTAAATTTCCTAGTTTCTTTTATTTGCTGGGCACAATTATACAAATCGATCTTCACGATGAAAAGCAGCGCCGTTTAAGTCTTTCATGACAATTTCCTTGAGTCAGCATGAGATCTGACCGAGATTTAAGGATTTTAATTTTTGCCGTAGGTCTCTATCTCATTTCTACGAAAAGTTATTCCAAAAATATTAGCGCTCACAACTTAGTTAACAACCTAATATATTGTAAAGTGTTTCATCATTTCTGTGTATGACTGCATTCATTATTAAACCGTTTGTCGTTGATTTTTTTCAATATCGGTTGGTGCTTTATTCGGATCATATTCAACATTAAACTTGAATAGAAAATTG